AATGAATCATAGAAGAGGTCTATTTCGATCTCTTCTGAGGTCACAAAAACAGTAAGAGGCAAAAACAGGTTTCAAACCCAGGTCCTCTGGACACCAACCCCACAAATATTAGAGAAGTAAGTGATCTTAGGGATATTATCTAGTTCGAACCCACCATTTTATGGAGAAGGAAGTGGAGGCTCAGAAACATGTAGTGATTTGCCCACAGTCATAGCTAGTGTTTGGAAGAGGTGGGCCTGGAATTGTAGTCCAGTTCCTCCCCACTTTAAGGATGTCTCTTTAGCTTTGCTCAGAAAGCTTACAGAGATCCTCTTCTTGCCAATAACCATGACAGCCTGGGAAATCATGCTTTTGAAACAGCTATCAGAGTTTGCTGCTGTTGGAGAATTATTCCCAAATTTTACTCTTTATTTACTCCCCATCCCAGCCCTTTTTTATGGTAAAAATCTGAAATATAAAAGAGGAAAACCATGTGCATAAATATGGCATTCTTTCCATTTTTAAAGCCAAGATCAATATGGTCCCAATTTATCATAACAGTGTGGGCTCTATTTGCCAAGTTCATTGTGATGCTCTGTTAATGGAATAGATTTTTCCTACTGATATGGCAAGTATTCAGAAATATCAGCTTTGGAGGGAATGTAAGCTCCCTGCGTTGTATTTGTATCCCCAGCACCCAGTATAATAAGAAGGAAGGACATAAGCATTTATACAGCTGTGCCAGGAATTGTGCTAAGTGCCTTACAGATATTATTTCATTTGATCCTCAAAATAACACTATGGGACAGGTAGGTGACATAGTGGATAGAATACAGGCCCTGAAGTCAGGAGGACCTGAGTTCAAATTTGACCTGATATACTTACTTGCTGTGTGACCCTAGGCAAGTCACTCAACACTGATTGTCTCCAAAAATAAGTAAATAAACAAATGAAACTCTACAAGGTAGATGCTATTATTATGGTTCCTATTTTATAATTGAGGAAACTGAAGTTAAATGACTTGCCTAGGGTCGCATAGCTAATAAGTGTCTGAGATTGGGTTTGAACTCAGGTCCTCCTGACTTCAGGCCCAATACTCTATCCCCGAGGTACCTAGCTGCCTCTATACCTTGCGTTGATAAATGCTTTCTGATTGAAAATCTGATAGATTCCTCATTCCTCAGGATGTCTGACTAGTATGTGACATACATTCTACCTTGACCCGCTTGCAACTGAGAGATAGCAACTAGCTTTGATTTTGAGGTTCTCCCCTTTCAGGACATTTGTTTAAACACCTTCCTTCAAAGCTATCTTTTTTGTTTTAAATAGTTCTAGTACTTAGCTGGTATAGTGTTTGGCACAAAGGAAGGTACTTCATCAGTACATGACTTTAGGTGATAAGGTTTTAAAATGGTTAGAATGTTAGGCATGGAATTGGGAACATGGGTTCAAATCCTGCCTCTGACCCTTAACTAGCTGTGTAACCTTGGGCCAGTCCTTTTAGCTTTATGTGCCACAGGCAACTCCCTAGACTTACGGGCTAAGCCATTGCCTGGTGGCATTCTATGTCAGCAGAGTGTTATTTCCACACTGAGCATTCCCACTTCACATAACTGTAGCTTCTTCATAAATTCCTATATTGATCTCATCTGCATGGGTTTGTAGATAGAGTACTGGGCCTGGAGTCAGGAAGACTTGAGTTCAAATCTCAGGCACTTACTAGCTCTGTGACCCTGGGCAAGTCACTTAACTTCTACTTGCTTCCGTTTTCTCAACTGTAAAGTGGGGATAATAAGAGTACTACCTCCTAGGGCTGTTGTAAAGATAGAATGAGATAATAAACCTGCCACAAAGAAAGTGCTATATAAATATTATTATTATTAGTTTACAACTGTGTACAATATTTTTTTCCTTTTTCACTGTCCAAAATAGGGGTCCTTAACCTTTTTATTTTGTCATGGACCCCTTTGTCACGGTCTGGTGAAGCCTAGGGACCACCTCTCAGAAAAACATTTTTAAATGTACAAAATGAAATACGTAGGATTATGTCAGAAATCAAGTATATTGAAATAGTTATCAACATATTAAAAAAAGAATTCATAGATGCTTGATTTAGATGAATGTGAGCAAGAATTTTTTTTTTCTCCTTAACCATGCCACTCGTTTCCAACATAAATAAATAAATACTGTTATTTAACATTATCAGCCAGATTTTCCTGATGGGGGTGAGTCAGGCAGTTCAGGAGGAGAACTTACTCTTCTGGGCCTTGGGGCATTCTTTTGTGCCTGGCAGTAAGAACAGTCCAGCTAATGGTGCCCTGGGGGCTAAAAAGAGTAATGTCTTCCCTGCACTAACCAGGACCTGGCTTAATAGGATTTTTAAGAAGCAAAGGAAAAAATGTGATATTTTTGAAATACAAACTCTTCTTACACTTCTTTGGACCCCTGACAACAGCAAATACAAAGCCTTGCCCATAGGAGATGCTTATTAAATGCTTGTTGAATGAAATCAGGCTTTACTCCATAGGTGGTGACTATAGGATGCCAAAATCCAGGTGACTGACTTTTCAATTTTTTATCCAAATATTTTGGCATCATAGACACACAGCCCTAACTGGCTCAGGATTAGTTATTTATTCAGAAGTGTTAAATCACAACAGCTCCATATCTATCTATCTATCTATCTATCTATCTATCTATCTATCTATCTACTTCTTTTTTGAAGAGGAAATTTTGAACTACAAGATATCAAAATGAAAAAGGGTGACATCCTTCATACAAGTCTTTTGCCATTGCCTCTATGTAGTATTGGTGGACTGTCAGCTCTGGCAGACCTTGCTAAACTAAAAAGGCTTTGAGTATGGGCCCAGATGTCCGGTTCATTGAAATTTCTGGGTAGCTACAAGTTGCCTCTTTTTTTTTTTTTTGGCTAGGCAATGGGGTTAAGTGACTTGCCCATGGTCACACAGCTAGTAAGTGTTATGTGTCTGAGGCTGGATTTGAACTCAGGTCCTCCTGAATCCAAGGCCTGTGCTCTATTCATTGTGCCACCTAGCTGCCCCTAAGTTGCCTCTTTTGATAGGTGGTATTGCATAGTAGATAGAGTCCTGGATTTAGAGGCAAGAAGATCCGGGTTTGATTCCGTTCACACTTACTCATTCTATCTGAACAAGTTACTTAACCTCTTTGAACCTCAATTTCCTTGTCTGTAAAATGAGAGTGTTGGACTTAGTAACCTCTAAGGCCTTTTCCATCTCTAATTCTATGATCCTATTAACCTATGGCCAGAGTAACCAAGTTGATAGTAGTTAACTATGAGAAGAGTCACCCCTGGGTGATATATCACCATCTCTATCCCTATCCCCATCTCTATTATCTATATCCATATCTGTTTCCATATCCATGTCTACATCCATATCTATATTTATGTCTGTCTACATATTTATAATTTATGTGTGTCTTTGTCTACAGCCATATCTATACTTATGTCTGTGTCTACATCCTTATCTGTAGCTGTATCTCTATGTCTATCATATCTATATCTGCATCTATATCTATGTCTATAGCCATATCTATATCTTTGCCTATGTTTACACCATGTCTATATCTATATCTATGCCTATGCCCATGTCTATATCCATATCTATATCTATGTCTATGTCTACTTCCTTATCTATAGCTGTGTCTCTATCTATGTTTATGTCTGTATCATTTATATCTATATATTCACCACAATAACTTATGAGTATTATAATCAAAAGATGACAGATCTAGAGCTAGAAGGAACTTCAAAGCTATTCCAATTCTCTCATTTTGCAGGCAAAGAAACTGAGGCCCAGAGAATCAAAATAACTTGCCCAAGATCACAGCGGTGGTGAGTTGCAAACTCAGTCCTGTGACTCAAGTTCACTCTTTTTTTCCTTTGCATCACACCATCTCCCTGGTTCCTAAGGAATGGAGTTGTGGTCAGCATTAGTGGAAGGAGTGCCCAAACTCATGAAATTGTGGACTTTCAAAAAGTTGAAACTAGGCTCTGAGGACCTGGATTTGAGTCCCAGTTATGTGTCTTACTCCCCCAGGGATTCCCAAGCAAATTATGTCCCTTTTGTGGTCCATTTTTCTTGTTTGTAAAATGAGGGGCTGGATGGAAATGCCTTCCAGCTCCAAATCATAGGATCATAGATTTAAAGCTGGCCAGGGACTTAAAGGACATATAATCCAATCCCCTCATTTTACATATGAGAAAATAAGGCCCAGAGAGATGTAATAACTCACCCAAGGTCACACAGATATTTAAGTGGCAGAACTAATATTTAAAATGAGATCCAATGATTCCAAATCATACCCTATTGTCTTATTATGTTGAAGATAGGTTCTTTATTTAAAAATCAAATTCTAACTAAATAGGTTGCAACCTTAATTCACAACCCACATTTGTTCTGCCTTTCTGATAAATTCAGAACAATAGTTTTCATTATATAGTAAGATGCATGCTCTAGTGTTGTCAGGGAATAGGGTATTCTGTTCTTTTCTTACCTATCCTACTTAATAGAGAGTCACCATATATACTGGATAAATTATAATTTTTTTTTTTTAAAGAAAGAGAATAGAGTGAAATGTATTCAGGAGCCTGAGCTTTCTTGTTATGAATGTCACTTATCATTGTGCCATAGATGTAAAGACATCTTATTAATACAAACTTCCTGGAGACAATGCCTGATAAAGCAGCAGCTTTTATTGTTCCATTCCCTTAATAAACAGCTCTGAATCTTGAGAGCAATGTGAAGCCCCAATATTGACCTACTGTTTATCCCAGACAGTCTTGGTGGAGGGGGACTCATAGACATGCAAATCACAACCTTCATGCTACCTCCAATGCCAGCTCCAAGGCAGCCACATTCCTCCTAGGCAATAGGGGTTGCTCATGAGAGGGTTGGCAGAGACGGATTGACAATGAAAACCATGCTGATGGAATAGGAGGCTGGTAATAAAGCTGGCATGATTTCAAAACCATCACCTACTAGAAGGAGTGGCACAGACGGGAGCTGTGGTCTGAGCTGGTCCCCATCCTTTCATATTGTAGGCCGAGACTTGGACAAAATAGTGTTGGCCCTGCAGAGGGATTGAAATAAAGAGACATTCATCAGGCATTTTATTTCACAAAATGACGTGATGGTAACAGAGTGCGCATTGCCATCCTTAGGGATCTCAATGGAAATGTACCAAAGAATTGAGTTTAAATATTAGGGAAAATCTCAGTGGAAAGTGTGCAGTTCTTTCAATATTCACTTTTTCTTTTAATCAATGGAATTCACACCCTCTCCATTCCCCCAAGGGTTCTCTTTATTTCCTTTTTTAAAACACATGCTTTAGGGTTGAAATCTGTCCTCAGCTGATCTTATCTCAGGGCCCAGGGGTGGGATTGTTGACCCTTGAGTGAATCAAATATATGAAGCCTATAGATAAGTCTGCCTACTCAAGTGCTGGTCTGCTTGAATCACATTTGGCAACCTGGAAGTGGACACCCAATATTTGACTATGACTGAAATCTACAATTCAGTGACTTTGTGAAAATATAACCACTGTCAGTGCCATGCCATGAAGATAGCCGAGACTGACCATCTGATTCTTCCCAGAATCTCCATGTCAAGGAGGATGCCTGGCCTGGTCTTATTTTAATTCCTCTCCAGTCTGTACTTCTGACTCCTGAATTTTCTCTAAAATGTGCATGTGCCAGGTACCTACATCTCTTCACTTCCACCCTTCACTCTTTTTTTAAAATTTTCCTTTTATATTTTGTCTTTCCTCATTAGAATATTAGCTCCTTAAAGGCAGGTACTATTTTCCTTCTGGCTTGTGTCTTCCTAGTGCTTAGCACACTGCCTGACACATTGTAAGTGCTTAATACATTTTTATTAATTTGACTTAAAAAATAACTCCAAAGAAGAGGAACCGAATAAAAGATTTTTATCCTGGTCCCAAGGACTGTGCTTTAGAATGATCTCTACTAATTGACTAGCTTTATATGCTACCCACATTTATACATGTACCTCAATGTAAAGATGTCTACAATATATATATAAATACATATACATATATATATATATATATATACATACATATATATATCCACTTAAGTCTTATACTAGAGTCTCTTCATCGCATATTAGTTACCTTAGGTTCTGGGAGGTTCTGTTATAAGGGATAGGGTACACTAAGATGGAAAGGTTTTTAAGAAGGGATAATGTCCATTAGCTTGTCATTCGAGGACAGCCTCATAATTTCTGATGAAGGTTTCATTACCATATTAACCAACGAGGAATGATTTTTTTTCTCTCTGGACAACTCTCCAAGGTCCTCTGTGAAGACAAAGAGGGGCTAATATGTGTGTCAGTGAAGGCAAGACCTACACCAAGGAAATATGTGTGTGTGGATCAAATGGAAACTATCTCATCACAGCTACAGTATGATATGAATTGACACTTATGATGAGGAACCTCAGGCTTTTGTGTGCATTTCATCCTATTCTAATTCTTTTTAAAAGTAATAATCGGTGTCTAGTACATAGGGTGACACTCTGTTAGCTAGAATATGCAATTAAGTGTATTGTAGATATAATGAAAACCATTGCTCTAAACTGATCAGAAGGGGCAGCTAGGTGGCAAAGTGGATGGAGCCCTGAAGTCAGGAGGACCTGAGTTCAAATATGGCCTCAGACCAAATACTTGACACTCACTAGCTGTGTGACCCTGGGCAAGTCACTTTAACCCCATTTGCCTAACAAAATAAAATTAAATAAAATAAACTGATCAGAAAGTCAGGAACATATGGGTTATAAGTCATAAAAGTTGTGATACATTTATCTAGAAGTAGATTTTTGAATAAATAATCTGTCTTTAACTTAATAAACTTATAGTGCTTAATAGATGCTTATTGACATATATAAGGTGGAAAGTTGGCCTTGAATTCAGGAAGTCCGGGGCTGTAAATCTGGTCAGAGCCACACATGACTATGTGTCCCTGGGCAAGTGATTAACCTCTCAGTGGGGTAGGCCACTGTTAAGTCACAGGAGGTGTCAACCTGCTTTGGTTGAGGGAATTAACTTGCTGAGGACTTCTCTAAATCACTGATATCAGAGGCCAGAATGTTAGCATCTCTCTTTACTAGATTATGTAATAAGTAGAACACCCTAGTTCCCAACTATAACAGGTTATAAGATGAAGAGAATAAGCATTTATTGAGCACCAACTATGCAAGGCACTATGTTAAATACTTTACAAATATTATCTTACTTAGTCCTCACAACAATCATGGGAGGTAGGTGCTGTTATTATCCTTATTTCACAGTTGAGGAAAGTAGGTAAGTAGAAGTTAAATGATTTATTCAGGGTTGCATAGCTTGTAAGTGTCTGAGGCTGGATTTGAACTCAGGTCTTCCTGACTCCAGGTCCAACACTCTATCAAGAAGCTAGTGAAAATTTATATATATAGACACACATATTTTTATGCACACATACATGGCAGTGTTTTGTGCAATGCACACATACACAGGATGTCCCAAAAGTTTTAGTGCAGTTTCACTAAGCCTTTTGGGAAGTTGTGAGTGTGTGTGTGTACACATTTATTTGACCATATGCAAATACATATGTGCATTTGGGATTCAAACCAAGATGCAACAGTGATTCAAGGGGTATTTTGATGTTTTAGTTTTGCTCCAGTTCAATCATCTGAGAAAATATATTTGATTCTGGTTTGATCTGTCATTTTAAGGAAAAACTTTTGGGTTGGTTTGGAGTACTGTAAAGAGGATCCAATTGGCCCAACAGAATAGCACTATTTGGTCTTGCTTTGGTCTCATGGAGACTTTGGTTCATGTTACTAAGTCATACATCTTCCGCGATATTCAGTTTCTTACTCTTGAAAGTAGATTGAGACAGATATTTTTATCAAGAGGAAAAGATTTCTCTCGGGAAATTGTGTGACAGAAATTGATGACTGATCCCAACTGAGCAGGGCTGAGTTTGTTATGTTAACCAGCAGACAGGGAGTCAGAATTGGCTCTATCAGGAGCCTTTGATCCCCATAAAGATTAGACTGGGATCCAGAAAGCAGCAGCTTTCACTGCCTGCCTGAGGCCAGTCTTTTCTGATCTCCCTAAAACACGACAACTTACAAAATGGTTCATGCTGTCTGCTTATTCCTTTGTGAATTTTAGATTATGGATACCAGACATATCATGCTTAATGAGCAGTAGATGCTGCCAGAATAGACGGGAGGGTGGGGGAGAGTATTGGTGGTTACGACCCAAATCCCCAATGTCAATGTGGGCAACGGGGGAGTGGGAAAATCCCACTGGATGGTTTGTCATTTACCGTGGAGAGCCCGGTGATTGTGCATCTCAAAGACTGAAGATTATCCATGATTATTTCCCCAGCCAAAGGAGAAAAGTCTTTAGAAACGCTCCACTCCACTGGAAAAGAGAGAGAGAGAGAGAAAGAGAAAGAGTATAACTGTGTAACTTTGTCAGATTTCAGGAAGACGTACTGAAACTCCCAAACCTTATCCCTCTTAAGCAAGGGCAAACTTTCTTCCTTTTTGTTGCATGGGTTCGTTTTATTATCTACCTTGGGAAATGGTAATTGTGTTTTCTGTGAAACTAGAAAGAAATTAATTTTAAAAGCGTTTGTAAGAGATTTATCTAGGCAAGTTCATATAAGAGGTAGCATGTTAATGTTTGTTAAGCACTTTACATAAATCACCTCATTTGTTCTCCCCAACAATCCTAAGTAGGTGCTATTGTTTCCATTTGATCTTCCCAACAACCCCAGGCGTTAGGTAGGTGCTTTATTATCCTCCTTTTACACTTAAGGAAACTAAGGCAGATAGAGGTTAAAGAACTAGTAAATATCTCAGGCAAGATCTGAGCGTAGATCTCCCTGTCTTCAAGTCCAGTACTTAATCCATTAGGCCACCTTGAGAGTACATGAGATACTTAGGTGAATGGGAGAAGTGTGCCAAATGTGAGACAGGAAACTTATTTTATGGGATATATGTGCTATCTAGTAGATGTATTGTTTGTGAAATATTTGCCATATGGAATATATGTTGGCTGCTGTCCTTTATTCTTGAAGAGCACCAAAATGACATCACTATGTTGAGGTCAAGGTACAGTGTGTCCGACTGTGATTGATCAAACTGATATGAGCTGTGAAAACTCTGCAGCAGGTCAGGCACAAACAGCCCATATAAACATGTTGGAGTGGAGATGTCTTTAAATTTGAACTTTTCACATTTCCTTTGAGAATTGTAGTAGCTCAAAGGAATGTATGTAACATGAGTGAGAGACACAGGACATGTTAAATGCCAACAACTATATGTATACATGCATATATGCAATATGCACATATGTGTGTATCCACATATACCAGGGTGGCCCAGTGGTTAGAGGGCATGCAGTATGTATCACCACTGTCATCCTGGTTAGCTTTATTAAGCTCCAATTTCCATATTATATAGAGTAAAGCAGCTTCCAATTAAATGCTGAGTTCAGGAAGATCAAGCAGTCAAAGGAGAATTTGGTTTTCTAAATTAACCCAGAGTTGTCAGTGACAAGCCTGTCTCTTAGAATCTGAATGAGGACGTGCATGGTGACTAACTGTAATACATGAAGGATTTATGCTAATCAGCTTGGGAAAGTCGTAATGGTGTAACTCTCTTCACCAAGATAGATTGCAAAACTTGTCTGACTCTAGATGAGAGAGTCTTGTCTACAGACAAGTCCTAGGGAATTGTTTGAGGCACACAGAGACCAAATGATTTGTCCAGAATCATACAGCTACATCACAGGCAGCATTTGAACCCAGGTCTTTCACACTCATATTGCTCAGCATTCTCTCCACTAATGCCCTTTACCTCTATTGAACCTCCCAATAACCCTATGAGGTGGATACTAAAGTTGCTATCATCCTTATTTTACAGAAGAGCAAAATGAGTATTCAGAGAAGTCAAGGATTACCCAGGATCATATAGCTAGCAAGTGTTGGAAACAGAATTTGAACCCAGGTCTGATCTGCCTCTAAGTTCTACATGTTATCTACTATACCATGAAGCTTTTGATTAAATTTCCTTCCTCTTTTGCATAAAGGATGCTAGCCCTTTAAGAAAAATGACCTGGAAAGCTTCTATTTGGAGTGCTTTGTGAGCTAATGACTTTGCTAAGAGCAGTGGGCAGAGACTGAAATAAATGTTATATCCAGATTAAGTTACTGTTAGCTCTAGTTGAAGAAATAAGAAAGGGACAGGGTGAAGATTTTTCTAAAATTAAATTAAAAAAAATCCAGTGATCAATTTGAAAAACAAACAGAAGAAAAGAAAAAAAAAACAACCCAAAGCCTTCTGTGACTGGGGAGAACCTAGTGGTGATAATTTTTATGTTTTCTATTCACAGAAATGCTTTTTATCTTCTTGTTTTTTTCTTTCTTCTGCCACATGGAAGAGAAGAAAGAGGAATTTGGAGAGAAGGGCATAATTCACCAGGGAATTACTTCAGAAGTGGTCTGTGGATGAAAGAAGACACAAGAATGATTCCTAAACCTAAGTATCCATATCTGTCTGCTGATAGCTGAGAGCCCCCAGGTGCACTGACATTGTGTCACCCTTAAGAAAAAACATGAAGTGTTTTTGTTTTTTAACTTTATGCTAAGAATTGGGGAAAGTTATTCATAGAAAAGTTAAATATTAGTGAGAAAGGTACCATTTTATCATAGATATTTGTTTTGTTAAAAGTTACTCTAAAATATCTTTTAAATAATATACCTAACAACCAAAACAATATAATTAAAGGCTAGGTGGAGAAGCAAAATTCTAATCATCTACAATGGTTAATTGGTAATAGCATACCATTAAAGTGAAGCACATATCTTTCCAGTTAATAATCATCTATTGAACTGTTTTTTTTTCTTTTTGAGGGGAAATATATTTTCTGAAGGGATTTGTTGGAAAGTATCTGTTTTTTTAAAAAATAATTTATCATTTAACAATACATTTAAAAATTGCACAGAAACCAGTCTATATTTCAAAAACATATTTCATTGAAATTTGATTGTAATGAGGATCATGGGAAGATTATATGAACTGATAAAATGTGAAATAAGTAGAACCAGGAAACTATATGTATACATAATGCAACGACGTCAATGGAAAGGAACACTCCTTCCTTCCCCTTGAAAAAAATAAAAAATAAACACTGTGCAATGATAATAACTAAGCTGTGCTTTAGAACAGAGATGAGAAGATGTATCTCCCTCTATTGTTTGCATGAGCAGGGAGAGGGAAAGGGAGAATAAGGGATGGGTGTGGAAAATTGTATATATGGGACAATTCATTTATTCAGAACTGCTTTTTTTTCTTTTGAAGTGAATGAATGAAAAAAATCATCTCTCAAGCTCTTGCTTGATATGCACTGGCAATAAAAATAGGAAAGTAAAACAGTCCTTGCCCTCTGGGAGCTCACATTCTAATAGAAGGATATGGCATATATAGAAGATTTCAGTTGCAGGTCAAATGGAAAGACCCCGGTGGTCCTTTACATACAGCAACAAAGTAAATGGTAATTCACCATCTTTTCATTTTCATAGAGAAAATCCTATTTGTGTATTATGTTGAACCATTTGACAGTAGCTAGAACTTTCTTCTCCATGTCTTCCATAGAGGTGATTGCTGAGGAGGCATGACTGTTGGGAGTCTGGGGTTGGGGGGCAGGTGTGATACTAATCCTAGAGCTCTTGGTCCTACTTACCATTGAACTGCAGGGAAGTGGTGGTTACAGTGTTTTGAGCTGGCTAGCACAAGCCAACTCCTATCATTGCCTTAGGGTACTTTGCTGCTTCTGTTAGGCCCAGAAGGGAGCAGTTGGTGGGTAGTTGATGGGGTTGACCAGTCCCTTCTCCACCAGGGTTTGCTTCCCTGGATGGTGACTCCCAGGCCCAGGCTGGGAGCAAGCAGGGTTGGCGGTCTGGGTGATGCTGCTATTCTCATGGCTCTTGGGTTTCCCTATCAAGCGGTGGAAGCTGGCAGCAGAATCTGGCTTTGCTGTTCCTGGAGCAGGCCAATCTATCTTCTGACCATGACTTCTCATGGTCTGTCCTCCATGCCTAGAATGTTCTTCCTCCTTGTTTTCACTCTTTGGCTTCCTTCAGGACTCATCTCAAATCCTACCTTCTACAAGAGGTCTTTCCTGATCCCCCTCTACTAATAGTGACTTCCTTCTGAAATGACCCTGAATTTACACTGCATATATCTCCAATGTACATAGTCATTTGTATGTTTTCTTCCCCATTAGAATGTGAGTTTTTTGAGGACAGGGACTATTTTTTGCCTTTCTTTGTGTACCCATTATTTACCACTGTGCCTGGCACATAGTATGAGCTTAATAAAAGACTTCTTGATTTGGTGGTGGTGGTGGTGAGGAAGGTGTGTCCTTCTTTGCAGATATTGCTCTCCTCTATGATAGCTGCCGGGTCCAGGATCAAAGCAGGACCAGTCATCTGGGGAGGGGAAGAGGTCACCATGATTCCTGAGGCTCCTGAGTTTAGAGTCCTGGACTATCTCCATTGGAGTGTGAGGGGAGGTGGTAGAGGTAGTTTGACTTTCCTGCCACATATTGCAATATTTCCAGAAGTCCAATGCATAAGACTATTCCAGGGACAGTGACAATGTTGGGAAGACATGCCACCCAGAGAGCCAGATTGCTATAAGCTCTTTGCTCTGATATAAACAGGTTTTACCTGGCTCTTTCACTTACCCACACAATCAATTCTTTAACCATACTATTTATTGTTTTTTGTTACAAGGGACAGCTCACTTACTACAGCCAGGGAGGAAGGATCTATTCATGAACGAAGGTGATGCAAAACCAAAAAAAATTAATAAAATTTTTTTAAAAAATTAAAAATAAACCAACACTCAGTAGAAAGCAGAGGTTCCCTGGCCCCCTTCAAAAACGCAAAGCAGGTTTGTTAGGCGCTGGAAGCCTGAAGAAGTATTGTTGGATAATCTTAAGCATTTGATTCAAATTAGTTTTTATTCCCACTTTGGGCTTCAAAGGGTGGGAGCGGTGGGGAAGAAATGCCACAAAGAGAAAAAAAAGTCTTCTGATTGGAAAGGATTATCATGGAGAAGTCACACTGCCTCCTGCCTCTCTGTGCATACTAGGGCAATCTCCCTTCTCTCTTACTTTGAAGAGACATGGAGCAGAAAGCAATTTCTTCCTTATGTAAAGAACAGGCAGGGGTGACAGAGTGAAAAGGAAATGTTTGAGGAGCTAAGCAAGAGTGCAAAGAAAGCAATTTGGCACCTTCTTTCTGATAAAGTGTAAGCTGGGACCATATTTGTTCAGATACAGCCCGCAGGTTTTTCCCTCTCAAATCTGATTGTATAAACCCTGAGATGGAAGCAGTTTTTTCTCAGATC